GCCCCAGCCTCCGTTTCTCGCCCTCTCCTGCTGGGGGGGGGGGGGGGAGGGCCGGAGAAGGACGAGAAGGGGCTCCTCCCGCCCCCCCAGACGGGCAGGAGAGGATGAGAAAGAAGGCGGCGGTGGGCGGGTGGCGGCAGGAGGAGGAAAGCGCCGCGCCCTGCCCACGCCGCCGCCATGGGTCCTCCTCCTGCAGCCAGAAGGAAGATGTCTCTACTCACAGGCAGAGTGCTGCAAGAGCAGCAGGGGCCAAGGGAAGGCGCGACGGTACCCCAGCATGGTCGCAGTGGTGGCAGTGGGGCGCTTTCAGTTTCCTTTCCTCTGGCAAACCCACTCGATGCTCCTCTCGGGAGGTCCGCAAAGCCGCCGCCAGCAGGAGCAGAGACCCGAGCGTAGCCGCGATCAGCCCCCCTTAAGAACCCCGGTCACACGAGAACGCAGCGCTGCTGAGTCCCTTATTCTGTTGTCCTTTCTTTGCTTTCCCCGAGCAGCCTTTTCACTGGGTTTTCACTGCTGCGCGCACCACTTTTGGAAAGCGCGATTGCTTCGCTGCTGCTGCTGACGCCCACAAGAAGTTTGTTATTTCCTCGCAGGAAGCAGCAGGGTGGGCAAGGCTGCCTGCTCCACTTCTCGGGTCTTTCTTGGCCTCTCCCCCCCTGCAATCCGGCTTCCTCCTGCTCCCCCAACTGCCCCCCTCCTGCTGCCGGTCCCACCGCCTCTCCCTTGCGTCTCCAGGCCCCGCCAGGAGGTTGGCATCTGCGCTCGCTTAGAGCTCATGACAACCTCGGGCCGGCCCTGTCACCAACATTCTACTATTTTCATTGTCAGCTTGTCTCTCGTCCAGCTTTATTAACTTCAATGAAACTATGCCAATATACACTAGCCAAGATTTTGTCAATACAGGTTTCCCTATTTTTCTTTCCAATAAGCAACTGTCTGTCATTTCCATGTAAGAATGAATTATTGTTGGTTATAAATAAGAAGGACAAGACTTTGGCAACTACCTTCATGACTTTACTCTAGAACCAGGTCTGGATCTTCTGCTTTGATGCTGGTTCTGTTGGGCTTGCAACAGTGTCCCTTGCTTAAACTGGTTTGACTTGGATTCTTTGGATTTACAATGGTTGCATTGGCATGTTGAATTTACATTTGGAGGCTTTTGGCCAAGGGTTGCTCTTGCATATTTGGCTATTGGCTTTTTGGCCCTGGAGAAAGCATGGGATTTTTCCCCATAGGAAACAATGGAACAAGTAGAATAGCTGAGGGCACCTTGGTCAGGGTCTCACAAAATTGGACCCCTTGATCCAATTGCTATAAACCTGGGTGAGTCTTAGTGGACAGGTAGTACTAGATTCCATGCAATTTTTAGTGTTGTTTGCATTAAAAACAGCCAGTCCAACCCACCTGGAAAGAGTTCCCCATAAGGAATAATGGACCTGAAATATTTTGGAATTCCAACACACACACCCCACACACACCCTGAATCTGAATTCTGAAGCAAGCTGAGTGAAGTCTGCAGTGACCATCCTGGTTTTTTTTAAAGCTCCAACTACCTTGTGCCAATTTCTCAAGGAGAAACAGCAGTACTTCAGCTAGCAGAGGGCTAGACTGGATGGTGGCAGCAAGCAACTTGGGGTAAAAGGGCATGAGGACTAGGGTTCCCTAAAAGTGGGTTCAAGTCCCTCACACACACACTGATTCCCCAGACAGAGGCTTGTAGCCTAGGAAGGGGGTCAAAGAGGGAAGTTGGGTCATGATATGGTGCACATGTCCAAATAACTCCAGTTGTGGTCAGCATGGTACAGATGTCATAAACTTACATATTCATACACCTCCGCAGGAGCTACCCTATATATTTCAGGGCAGCAGCCAACTATTATCATCAATGTTGCAAATTTCTAGCATTTTGATTGATGTGCATAAGAAGTAAGCTATACTGCACTCTTCAAGTTTGCAAAAGGCAAATTAATATGGGCAAATCATCCAGCACAGGGTCGACTCTCACACAAGACAGGGTAAAAAACAGAGGTCATTTCGGGGGGGGGGAACGGGGAAATGCAGTTCCCCTGGGTGAGGTGCAGGGGGTGGAGCACATGACGAAGCTCTGCCCCCTGCTTCCGGCCGCCCCGCTTCCAGCCCTCATTCAGCCAGGAGGAGGCAGGAGAAGAGGGAGGGTAAGTTGCTTCCTCCCCGCCTCTCCCCACCCCTGCCTGCCTGGGGCCAGGGAGGGCCTTGGCGGGGCTTCCTCGCACTCCTGCCAGCCTTGCAGGTCCACCGCCGGGCCCCTGATGTCAGGGAGTGGGGCATATGCAAATGAGTTATGCTAATGAGTTCCCCTAGCTCTTTTTCTATGAAACGACCCCTGGAAAAAAATATACATGGCAGATTTTGAAGTACCATTAAAAAGCAACAATTTGTGATTTATCATAACCAGCCACTTGGATGTTCTTATTCAGGCACCAAAAATGTTATGGGTTATCTCTGATCCAAACACCTTTGAAGAATTAATGAATAAATCTGATATTCTGATAATGTGGTACAGCAAGTAACTGGGTTAATCATGAGAGACAGCTAATAAAAGTCACCCAGAAGCTGAAAACAAACCTGGGGAACAAGGTGGCAGAAAGTTCATGCTTTTGCTCTAGAGCTGAGCAGAGGCTACATTCATAAACAAAACAGAAGTCCAGTAGCATAACAAAACTTGTCAGGAAAATACTTCATTATGGTCACAAAGGGTGGGGGAGGAAGATAGAATAGATTTCTTACCGGACTTTTCCTCTATAGAATGCATTCAAAAATAAGGAAATAAAAAATTATAAAAGGTACTTTCCCTTAAGCAGATACTGATGAAATCCATCTCCATGAAATGTTATATTAAGAACATTACAGCTTGATGTGAAATAACATTGGAATTGGCTTAGTCATAAATAAATCTTGTCAGTTTCATTCAAACTTACTTCCAAATAAATTTGTTTAGGATTGCAGCATAAGTAATCTTAAAAATAAACTGGTAACAGCCTCAATTTTATTACCATACATACAAGAATAAACAGGCGCATAGTGGAGTATGTACATATGTTAGTGCATTCTAAAAACATATGTGCAACCTGATGCTATATCCCATTACTCAGAATTATGTTCTGTTAGGAATTAATGGAACTTGCTCCTAGGTAAGGACTGCATTCTTATATTGAAAATACCCAGTTATAAATGGACATATTGGACAAACAAGATATGTATTGAAGCATCACACAATTAATATTTTATTAACAATGTATGCAATAGTTTCTGAATTTCTTTTACCCCAAATTTGAACTATACCTGCCAGAGGCAGATTAGAAAGAAGAAAAGCCCTGGAAAAGATCCCTCCTCCCAGCCCTGCCTCCAATAGAGAGGGGGAAAGGAGCAGAGGCCAGAGAGGGGAGGAAAGGGGGATAGATAGAGGGCAATAAAGGCTGGGGGAATGAGCACAAGCCAGTTCTCTCAGTGTGGCAGCTGCTGGCCCACCCCAGTTGGGGCTCATGCAGCAGACTTGCTCTCTGCTGCAGCTGTCTGCTTGCTCTGCATAGGGCACATGCAGCCAGATTGCTTGTGCTGGTAGCTTGTGCTCATTGTCACACCACTTATTCTGCATGGGGTGCATGCAGCGAGCTCGCTTGTGGTGGCAGCTGCTCACCTGCCCCACACGGGGTGAGGGCTGCCAGCTTGCCACAGAGGTGGCCACAAGAGCCACCCCAAATGGGGCAATGGCCATCTTGAATGAAGTAATGTCTAGCCCTTGCTAAGGGTTAGGGTGGCCATCAGCCCACCGGAACTTTCCCCAGTGGCTTTAATGGACAATCTGCCCCTTACACCAGTCTGCTCTCTCCAACAAGCAGATGCACCACCATTCTACTGGTACTACCAATATAGCGCAATTTTTAAAAATCAGAAAAATAATAGATAGGATGCAATCAGCAGTTTTACCTTTGCTAATAAGAATAATAGGAAGGAAAGTAACCAAAGATATGTATACCCCTTCTATGCCTATGTAGTCTAGTAACTAAAGTCTACCACATAATTGAAACGGAGAGCACAGAGGTTGCATATTTAACACAATTCACTTCCTCTAGTAATCTAATAAAGGAAATCTGTTACAGAAAGAAGATCTGCAGGGCTTCCTGTATTGGATATAACAGCACAAGCATCTTATAAAATGAGGCTCTGTATCAAGTATTGTTTGTCATGTGCTGTTATGATATGAGATGAGCAAAGTTTCACAATTTCTTTGCCAAATTATGCAATTTACATTCCAAAAAGGTAGACAGATTTCTGTTATAACAATGCTTTTTTATTTTTAGACTTTGCAATATACAACAAGCCAAATGTTATTTACTCCCAAGTGCTTAGCAGTTGTTGAGTGCGGCTGTGCCAACTCCCACCCACAATATATCCCTCTACTTGAGCAGATGGCCACTGTCTACAGGAGCCTAGAGGGCAGAGCAAAGCACCGCTAAGTCTATTAGCTTAATTGGCAACTGAGGGAGAAAACAAATGTCCTACCAGTGATGGGTGACTTTGACATCAGCGAATTTTCCCAATTCCCACCCATATTGGCAGTAATTTTACCTCAGAAGTTATTTTAGTCATCTTGAGAGAAGACATATGCTCTACAAGTGCAGCAAAAATATTTATATTACTAACTTCATTTATGGCTTGCCTTTCTCACTGAGGCTCAAGACAGATTACAAAACTGATAGACAACTCAATCAAACAGCACACATCTCTAATTTAAAAATGCAACAGAGGTAGGATTAAAAATTGGAAAACAATACAAGCAAAAAACTGACCAGGGCTGTGATCACACACACTAAACAATCCACTTTCAATCCACTTTCAATGCTCTTTCAAACTGGATTTTGACGGTTCACAAAGTGAAATCCAATTTGAAAGTATACAGAAAGTGGATTGAAAGTGGATTATTTAGTGTGTGTGATCCCAGCCTTAGGCTACAAAACTGTCAATATGGGCAAAGAATTTCTAAGGAAACCAAACTGTCTAAAGTTTGACAAGCCACACTGAACAGAGGGTGACAAAAGGCCTTTCTGATAGCCTCTGGGAGACCATTCCATAATGTGTGCCAATATGGGGAATGTCCATGAACAGGTAGTTGCTGATTTTACCTATTTGCAGGCTACAGAAGGCTTTGTGAAATGAGTGCAGCTGTTGTGGTGGAACATAGCAGGAGAGGCGATCCTGCAGGCATACTGGTTAAATGCCATTAAGGACTTTGAAGGTGGTAGCTAGAACCCTGAACTGAACCCAGTAACTGGTTAAAAAAAAAGTGCTAAGCCAAAAACAGTAGCCAAAAAATGCCATGCCTTTGAATAGTTCATAGATCAAAATGTGGACATCTGTTATACTTGCAACCTCCCTATCCTCAGAGCAAGGATCACTGGTTCTTCTCTCTGTGCTGTATTCCGTCTTCACTTACCCTGCAATAGCCTGACTTGTTGGTAATGGCATCAGGAACAGAGCAAAGGAACGAAGAATCCTTCCTAAAGTGAATACTTACAGCATGGTCCTTTCCATATTTATTTTAAAAAATGTATAGGATTGCAGCTCTTGGTAAAGAACAAGTGTTACCTCATAACACCTTTCCACCTCTAAATGCTGTAATGATGGCTGCAAAAAATTTTTTGGACATTTTTAATTGCTTTTTTAACACTACAATCTATAGGATATAGGGAACAGGGATATTCTAAACTAAAATACAGAGTAGGCAAGGATCCTGTTATTTGAATTATACATAGGTGGAGATAAACTGCTAGTATCTCTACTTTAACAAATACAAGCTGAATTGGCTATAATATGTGCATCTTAGTAAATAAAAACCAGATTTTCAGAATCCGGTTATTTATCCGCTTTCTTCCCTTTACGTTTACTCTTATCAAAGTTCAGTTTAACTAAATGGTTTAGGAGCTGCATCTCCTAGTTCTGATACAGATTCAGAAGCTTCTTCCAGGGAACTGCACACCGAGCTGTCACTGGTTTTCGATCCATGTTCACTATTATGTTCTGTAGCGGTTTTGTCTTCTGCTTTTCCTTTTCCTTCTTTCGCTGGGCTTTGCTGCTGTTCGAAAAATGCTTTAGCTTTAGTAACAGAGTCAATAGTTTAAGTTGAAAATAAGTCATTCAGGAAATATCCATCTGTAGGGGTGGAATTTTTCTATAGAAATGATGTCAGATTCTTGTATTGCTTCTTCCTCTTTCTCACCTCAAATGGAACATCTTTTAAAACCTTCGCTTCTCTCCTTGGATCCTTAGGGTTATTCCATTGTCACTTTCAATATCATGTCCCTTGTTGACCTTTTGGAGAATTTCACAAAACCTTCACCGGGCAGGTTGTTTCTCTTAATAAATTCTGGATATGTTCGATATATCATATCCATGGGTGCTAAGGCTTTGCTTAAAATCTCTCTCAGGTTCTCCCCTTTTTGTTCAGGAATACCTTGGAATCTCAAGGCATAAGATGATCTTTCCATCTGAAGTTGTAACAGTTGCTGTTTCTCAGAGGTTCTCTCTTTTCTCTTTTCCTCTATTCTTTGATTCAGTAGATTTGTCTTATTATCAACCTTTTCAGCTTTTTAGTTGTCTTCTCTGTTCTTGCATTAGTTTCTTTCAGTTCCTTTTGTAGAGCTTCAAATTTGTTATTAAGGTTAGTTATCTGGTCCAGCAGAAGGTGCAGTGCTGCAGCAATCATTTTAGAAATGTCTGTGGTTACTTCCGGTCTAAGGACCGGAGTCGATGTGCTGGCAGTTCCTGAAGAAGGTTTCACTCTGGACGCCATTTTTTCACCCCGATGTGACATTGTTTACATTAAAGGTAAAAGTTTTTTTAAGTTTCTGAAAGCCTTTTAAGTTGTATGCTTGCTGTAAATCTGCACATCAACCAGTTAGACTGACTTTCTCCCATCTAGGCTGCCGATTTTCCCCTCGCTTTCCTCGGGTTTTTTGCTGGTTTTTCCCCAGGGAAGGGTTGCCTCCCCCCCCCTCTGCTGTATTTAGGGCTTCTGTGCACCTTTACAGATTTTCGCCTAAGTGCTTGTTCCATTTACTGGGTATTCACTCACAGTTTGTTCCACGACCTGCTTCTAGAGGTAGGGACAGCCTCCCATTGCCAGATCACTTGCTCTCTCTCCGGTGTGTGTCTTTGAAACCATGGCTGGTCTTGCATTGGTGGGACCTTTTGGAGCAAAGGGGAGCCTCAATCCTTCAGCCGTAGCCTTAGGAGAGGCATCCCATGTGCTCCAGGCTAGGAGCCCCTCCAAGGGCTTTGCCCCCCCGGAATCATCCGGGTCCCCTCCCATCCGGAGCAATTGCAGGCCACTCTCATTGAAGCAACGATGGAGTGCACCCACCAGCAATTCGCCAAGACCGGAAGCTGATGGCTGCAAAATTATACACCCTTAATTTGGAGCAGATCTTCAGTGGACTTAGTTTTCCCCCAAAAGGCAAAGCAAGGACAAATCAGGAGCAAATATCAGAAAATAGGGGCAGTTAGAGCATATGATTTGAACTTGCAATATCCAAGGCGATTTTGTAGAAAACCCATGGATCAACTTGGAATAAGATACCGTAACAGTGAAGCAAATGGATCAGTATCATATATACCCCTTTTCAACTGTGTAGGAGAAAATCTCTTTATTGCTAGTATTACATGTTTGTTAGGCCTGAAATAGAACTGTATAAGAGACCACATACCCTCCAATACTGCATGCAGAGAAAACAGGGACGTGC